TTTTTTCTTTTAGCATTTATAATCTTGAACTAAATATATTAAACTATAATATATTTAATATATAATAACTTCAGAGTATTTTATCTTTCTGATATGCTTTTCTTTTCTGCTTTGTGTTTTTCCTTTCTGCTGTACAAAGTAACAAAAATGTAGTTCTATTTAAATGAGCTTTTCCTGTATGCTGTATTTTGTCTTCTTCTCTTCACCACTTGCACCTAAATTCTACCGATGTGGGACAATGAAGGATTTTCTATTCTATTCTATTCTAATCAATTATATTCTATTATATTCTATTCCATTTTGACTTTTAATAGCACTTTATTTACACAATTCAAAACATATAAACAATTGACGTAAAACAAGTGTCAGTTAAAAATCCCTATTAATGTAAAAATAAAAGTGTCAGCTAAAAATTAGTAAATGAGGAGCTTGACAGGACAGGATGGAATCCTAACAGGATAAAATCCTCCATGTTCTGTTATTCTATTATAAAAGAGGGTTTAAATCTTAATTCTTAGAAGCATAGTCTGAAAACTTATTTTTTATTTAATTCACAGAAAATTATCCAAACTAACACAAATTCTTCAGCAACAGCATGACAGGAGTGAACCATTTATACCAGCCCGATTTAAAAATAAAACATAAATAGAGAGATTCAACACTTTCCTCCAAAATGCTTGCCTTGACCATAAAAAAAAAATTAGGAATTAAATATCTTCTGAGAAAGGTAAAAAAAAATGTAGTTTTGAGGGACAAAAAAAAAAAAAAAAGGTTGGGAAAATTTTATCAAACAAATTAATATCATACAAAAATTAAAGAAAGAAATAGAGTCATATAAGAAAATAGTACTAAGATAAATTATATGACTAACCAATGAAATCAATTCAGTTTTGGTATTTCAGTACTTTATTGCATTCAGTTGAGCCTTAGTTATCCTTCACACTTCATACTGGGTTTAATTTCTAAATTTCTTTTAATTTAGGTAGGGATTTGTTTGCTCTGTACAAAAAAGAAAATTATATAAGTGCATAATTAGATAAAAATGTAAAAAATATTGTATTTCATAAAACACGTGTAGGGGGGACTTTTATATATGAACAGAACACTTTAAAATAGAGATAAAAATACTCTACTCCACCACCCCCCTCCTGTCAGTGATGAGTCCAGTGACCTACATTTGAGTGAAAAATCAACATCCACATTGCACCACACTTACAAATACATCAACCACAGCACACAAGTTTAAATGCTGCACATTTTGTACTAGCCTGTGGGTGGAGGTACATGTTTAAGTTCTAAATGCCTTAAACAATTTAAAGGCTTTCAATTTAAAACACGATTCGAAAAACAGAATATGTGCCTCACAGTCATGCATAATTCAGGGAAAGACTGCACAGCAGAAAGATGGATAATAGATGTGGTGCAACGATAGGAAAGAAAAAGATTGCACCCAGGATTGGATTTCTGAAGAAGTGCAATGCAGCACCTAAGCATTTTTAGTGTTACCAGAAAAAAGTAAACAAAAAAGGAAAGAAATGGACAAAAAAAAAACAAATGGAAGAGACATGTTGTAATGCAATGAGAAGTGTGTGTGGACTTGTTTTTGTGACAGTGTGGGGCTTTAATCTGTTTACACAGTCACGTCATGGGGACCTATGTCTTTATGGGGACTAATATCCTGGTCCCCATATGGTAAAGCTTTTTGTCTTTGAGCCGGAGTTAGGTTTAGGACTAAGACGTGAATTCAGTTCAGGTAAGGGCTAAAGGTCAGGTATATGTTGGGGTTAGTGTAAGGGTCCAGATTAGGCCATATAAAATGAATGTGTCAAAGAAATTTTCCCATAAGTCACAAAAACAAGTGTGTCTGTGTGTTTGTGGGGGTATTTAAGAACAAAGAAAGTCATCTTACCTATAAGTATATAGAGAGAAGATATTTCATCCATGATGATGACCATAAAAAGAAAAGAGAAAACACAAGAGATTAGTTTAATACAACCTGCAAAACATATTGTTAATAGGTCCTGAAAAATGAAAAAATGTGTAAAACATCAATGTCATGGATTTGTAAAAGTTCATTAATAAAAAGTCAGGTCCTTTACAACACAATAGGAAAATGACAGTTAAATGCTTCTAGATGGAGGTAATAGGTGAAAGTCATGTGAGACCTGGTGTTGCCAGATAGTAGTATGACAGTGCTGAGAAATTGATTGTCCCTGGCATCACATATCCAGATTCATGCAAACCAAAAAAGACTAAAACCAGAAAGCACATCTGTCAAGGTTTAGAGCACTGCTTTGGACTAAACGAAGCCAAGGAGCTCAGAAACCTTGTAGAAGTTGTCACAAAGATCCACTTAACATACAATTCAGCTAATCCTCACAATGAAGCCAGCAAAAGTTGGAATACGTTTTTGTTTTTACAATCTGATTATTCATCTTCTATATTTTAATTCTGTGGGCCTAATCAAACGTTATGCATTTGATAATCATGTTTTATCAATAAAGCAACAAGGCTCAAGTGTCAAAAGCAATTTTTACAGGCTATTGATGAACAAAATACATATATAATATAAACGATTATTATTTTAAGCTTCTATTTGATCAAGGACAGAACTTATAACAATACTGTATATTAAATACAATATGAATTGCGTTTGTAGTTGTTTTTCAAACATTTTATACATGAATAAACACAATAAAAGAACTCCCTTTAAGGAAGAAATAAGCAAAGAAACACATGTTATTCCAAAATGGCTAAAAAGAAAGCTACAAGGAAACACAATGTTCTAAAGTTTGCAGATCTTCTTAGAGCTCTTTACTGTATACTAAATAACTTTTAGTAACTCTGTTAACATGACAAGGGAATATGGACTTATTATTCATATTATCTGGGGGATTGTTTGCTTAGAGGTTTGAGCAGTGTGCTTGTCTTTTAAGAAGGTTGCAAGTATGCGGTTCGATCCTCACAGCCTCCACTCTCTGTGTGCCTGAGCAAGACTCTCAACCCCACACACCTCCCTGGGTGGCACACAATGGCAGCCCACTGCTCCCAAAGGGGACTGGTTAAATGCAGAGCTAAATTTCTCCAGTGTGAGACCCAAAAACTTCATTTTTTTAACTATATTAAGGTGATATTAATCTTTGGAATCCAGGACATCAGAGCCTGTTAGAGAATAATCATTACCAACCCTCTTTGTAGAAATGGTAAAAAACTGATCAAGCTGTTTAGCTGCAGTGCAATTTGTTTAAATGCTTACCTTTGTACGTTTTATACCATTTCTTTCTCTACTTTTGCTACTTTTGCACCAACAAAGATAACTTTGGTTTTGCTATATTTACCTCTATACAAACACGAAATAGTCATAAATCAACAGAAAACTATGGTATGTTGGGCCTCATGTAAGAAGCGTTTGTATAAACAAATTTGTTCTTAAAGGGTTTGTATGAGTGATTTAGGAGAAAATCCCTCAGTCACATTTTTTCCCTCATATTTCTAATCTTCTCTCAGGTAGGACAAATGTTATAAGTGCTCCAGACTTGAGGGAGGAGTCAGCTGTTATACAAATCTAGTTTTCCACTTAATGACTGTATTTTTTAACTAAAAGTCTCTGTCCGTTATTATTGGGTTACATTTTTATATACTATGCACCTTCAAACCAAAATCCATTTTTAATCACTGAAAACAGAACTATCAGGCACTACACTGGCAGCTGGCATGTCAATATCCAAGGGGATTCTGGTTTAAATTTTGGTAATTTTGTTGAAAGAAGAAACAGTCAACAAGCTGTGTGTGAGAACAAGCTACTGTTAAAAAAACATTTCAAACAAAAATTAGATACAAAGTACAGAATGAAGGATTGGTGATGTGTTGCTTCTTGAAACTTTTCTAAGGGATGCATTAAGTTCACTTCATATCGCCGCCTCGGCTTTGTTATTTGTGGAAAGTTTGGGTCTGTCTGAATTCACCAAATTAGAGTTTCACCCATTACATTTTGTTTTACAATAATTTAATGTAGAGTACAACGAAGGGTTGTCAGACAAGGTCTATTTACAGATCTAGGTTTAGTAGCTACATGTAAGTGTATGTATTAAAAGCAATTTTTGCCGAACTGTGTGTTGTGTTGGTTGGCGGTGAACTGATATGAAGTATTTACATCAAATGTTGCACCTCTTACCTTTACCAGTAGCTTTCATCAACTATAATCCTTTTTTTAGGCATGTTTTGGACACAAACTTCACATCAAATGTTTTTTTCTATTATTATTATTATTATTGTAACTATTATTATTTGTTTGGTCTTTTAATTCTGCTGCTCAGCTCTCAGCCAGCAGAGCCTAGAGTTCTAAATTGGTAAAGTCTCTCTTTTTGTCTCCATTTCCACTTTTTTGAATGAAAATGGTCTGACAAGCGCTGGAACTCATAGCCCTATATGGAATTATCAGGCAGTAGTTATGTAGTTTTGCAATTCCTATA